CTCCAAGCTACCTTCTTTGCAGTTTAAGCTGATCTTAAAAACGAGTGGGAGAGAGATGGGGTTCTCCACATGCCACAATGAGGTGAGTATACGGAGCCAGGGATTGGAGTGATTTCTCATCCACTTGTAGTCAGGCGGAGGGTCAGGCTCCGCCTGACTAATTCACTTGCCTGTAATAAAAATAGCATTCTCCGTATATTGTAAGTATACGGAACCCAGAAGTTTCATGCAGGGTAGTATACTGAAAACTATAGCTAGTTTACTGAGCTTTTACTAATTATTTATATGAAAGAATAATAAAACCTGTTTATGTAGCAATAGCAATGATAATAGATCTCTAATACGAATATATAAATATATTTATTTAATAATAAGTTGCGGTATGTTATAATAAAGATCAAGAGACTCAGGATTAGATAGTGCTCCCCTCTCCTTCACTTCTTCCCCAGAGAGAATCTTCTTGACAGCAACTTCAACTTTCTTCCCATTCATTGTATACTAACAAGAAAACATAAAATATATACTTTAAATATATTGCTAGAAAATCAGCAAAGATTTTTCAAAAAGGTTGGATTTTGACTGCAATTGAGGGTCAAAATTTTGAGCTTAACAAGCAAATTTAAATAGATATGTATCTTCCTTACTGGTATATCGCTAGTTTCTAAAACGATAGCTGGAACATGTCGTGCAGATAACTCTCCTCTAATGAACGTCTTTACTTTCTTAACAAACTCATCATTAAAACTATCAATAATTAGAGGAAGATTAAAGGGGCATACCCATTGCTAGTTTGTTCCCTTACGTATAGCCAGGGTTCATTTTAATAAAGAGAATCACTCGCTCATCAGATCCAATCAATTGCCCGACACATAAACTGTCCTTTACTTCATCAAACTTCTCAACTATTATAAAATAATAATAATTACTATTATTATCATTTATTATTTTACTGATGTTATAAATCTCGGCACTTCCAAACCTCACGCCACTAGGATTGAGCGTTCCATCACTAGAAAATAAAATAAATTCAAAAGAAATAAAGCAGCTGCTACTTTACCTCCTCCCCAGCATTACAATCCCACCAGTTCTTGAACTAATCTTACAAAAATCACCATGAGCCCACACACCTACAAGTATAATTATTATATATATGTCATTATTATTATTTTTGTTATTATTATTAATTTTGTTATTATTTTTGTTATTGGTGTTGTTGTTACTATGTGTGTTGTTATTGTTTAGTTGTTTGTTGTTGTTGTTTTTACCTGAATAAACTGAGAAGTATGATTTTTGGTATCTGATAGAGTCCTCGTCGTTCCAAAAATGAGTCGGCATTGAAGGAAAAGGTTTAGTACACACCAACTCACCACTCTCATCATAAACAGGCTTACCTTGTAAACAAATAATGTAAACAAACAACAAGTATACATTATATATTATATATTATGTTTTTGTGGTAATTATTCTTACCATTTCTGTCCCAGCATTCAACTGCCATTCCAATGTTCCTGTACTGTATCTCCCCTCTGTGTACTGGGAGGGTCGGGTTCTGACCAGCAAAACAAGATATGATATCTGTACCACCTAAAATAGTAATAATAATAATAATAATAATAATAATAATAATAATAATAATAATAATAATAATAATAATAATAATAATAAATAATAATAATAATACATGTATAGTTTCCTTGTTTTATTTTTATTTTATTTTTTCCTCATAGGGCCTTTCCCTCTCCTTTCCCTTTTTTGTTTTTCTCTATTATTAGCTCTAATTAGTTCTTGTTTTTGATAATAATAATAATAATAATAATAATAATAATAATAATTGACAACTCGTTATTTGAGGGTCTTCTTGATACTGCTTTGGATCCAAGACACCGTGCTCTGGCTTTGTCTTCTTCTCTTCCTCATGCAGGGGACTGGCTCACTGCTCTACCCTCCTCTAATTTAGGTCTCCATTTTTTGAGCTCTGAATTTCGGGTTAGCTTATGTTACTGGCTTGGTGTTCCTCTCTCTGCCTCTGGTCAAGACTGTTCCATTTGTCTGAGACCGGCTGACCCATTTGGGGATCATGCGGTGGCTTGTGGTGGGAACGGGGATAGGATTTACAGGCATAACAACCTCCGGGACATTATCTTTACGGCTGCCCAGTCAGCTGCCCTCTCCCCTCGTAGGGAGGTCCCATTGTTGGTCCCTGATTCCTCTTCCCGCCCAGCTGACATCTTTGTTCCCTCCTGGTCCCTCGGCCGTCCTGCTGCCATGAATGTCACAGTGATTCTCCCCT